CAACGTATCTACAATTTTTGATTGTTCCATGCTATTATATATTCTGTTTTGGATGTTTAATGGGCTTATTTATACACTTTTATATTATTTTTGGGACTAACCTATTAACCGGAGGCCCGGCCCAAATTGCTGTTTTTTTGCCTATTTCAGTGTTTCGCAGAAAAAGAATATCAAACGGAGTCCAAACGGAATGAAACCTTCGGGAGCGTGATTTTTTGGAACAAACGCGATCCAGAGGACTTGGAGTGGACGTCAAGCAATCAACGAGGAGGCCACGAGGCAGGGGGCACGCCTACCCCTTGGGCGTGCCCTCCACCCTCGTGGGCCCCTCGTGGCTCCACCGACCTACTTCTTCCTCCTATATATACCTACGTACCCTGAAAACATCGGAGAGAACCACAAAACCCTATTTCCACCGCTGCAGCCTTCTGTACCCAAGAGATCCCATCTTGGGGCCTTTTCGGAGCTCTGTTGGAGGGGGCATTGGTCATGGAGGGCATCTACATCAACTCCATGGCCCCTCCGATGATGTGTGAGTAGTTTACCTCAGACCTTCGAGTCCATAGTTATTAGCTAGATGGCTTCCTCTCTCTCTTTGGATCTCAATACAAAGTTCTCCTCGATTCTCTTGGAGATCTATTCGATGTAATCTTCTTTTGCGGTGTGTTTGTCGAGATCCGTTGAATTGTGGGTTTATGATCAAGATTATCTATGAACAATATTTGAATCTTCTCTGAATTCTTTTATGTATGATTGGTTATCTTTGCAAGTCTCTTCGAATTATCAGTTTGGTTTGGCCTACTAGATTGATCTTTCTTGCAATGGGAGAAGTGCTTAGCTTTGGGTTCAATCTTGCGGTGCTCGATCCCAGTGACAGAAAGGGAAACGACACGTATTGTATTGTCGCCATCGAGGATAAAAAGATGGGGTTTATATCATATTGCATGAGCTTATCCCTCTACATCATGTCATCTTGCTTAAAGCTTTACTCTGTTCTTATGAACTTAACACTCTAGATGCATGTTGGATAGTGGTTGATGTGTGGAGTAATAGTAGTAGATGCAGGCAGGAGTCGGTCTACTTGTCACAGACGTGATGCTTATATACATGATCATACCTAGATATTCTCATAATTATTCGCTTTTCTATCAATTGCTCGACAGTAATTTGTTCACCCACCGTAATACTTATGCTATCTTGAGAGAAGCCACTAGTGAAACCTATGGCCCCCGGGTCTATCTTCCATCATACAAGTTTCCAATCTATTTTTTTCAATCTTTACTTTCAATCTATATCATAAAAATACCAAAAATATTTATCTTATTATTATCTCTATCGGATCTCACTCTTGCAAGTGGCCGTGAAGGGATTGACAACCCCTTTATCATGTTGGTTGCGAGGTTCTTATTTGTTTGTGTAGGTAGGAGGTGATTTGCGCGTGGTATCCTACTGGATTGATACCTTGTTTCTCAAAAACTGAGGGAAATACTTACGCTGCTTTGCTGCATCACCCTTTCCTCTTCAAGGGAAAACCAACGCAGTGCTCAAGAGGTAGCAATCATCATCATCAACCTTCCTCCATCACCAATTTCATGATGCTCACCGCCGTGCGTGAGCAATTCCATCGTAGGCTTGCTGGACGGTGATGGGTTGGATGAGATTTATCATGTAATCGAGTTAGTTTTGTTAGGGTTTGATCCCTAGTATCCATTATGTTCTGAGATTGATGTTGCTATGAATTTGCTATGCTTAATGCTTGTCACTAGGGCCCGAGTGCCCTGATTTCAGATCTGAACCTATTATGTTTCCATGAATATATGTGAGTTCTTGATCCTATCTTGCAAGTCTATAGTCACCTATTAAGTTATGATCGGTTAACCCTGAAGTGACAATAATCGGGATACTTACCGGTGATGACCGTAGTATGAGGAGTTCATGTATTCACTAAGTGTTAATGCTTTGGTCTGGTACTCTAATAAAAGGAGGCCTTAATATCCCTTAGTTTCCAATAGGGCCCCGCTGCCACGGGAGGGTAGGACAAACGATGTCATGCAAGTTCGTTTCTGTAAGCACGTATGACTATATTCAGAATACATGCCTACATTGCATTGATGAACTGGAGCTAGTTCTGTGTCACCCTATGTTATAACTGTTGCATGAGGAACCACATCCGACATAATTATCCATCACTGATCCATTGCCTACGAGCTTTTCATATATTGACCTTTGCTTAGTTACTTTACCGTTGCCACTATTACAATCACTACAAAACCAATACTATTACTTTTGCCACTATTACCGTTACTTCTATATTACTTTCCTACTAAATACTTTGCTGCAGATATTAAGTCTTTCAGGTGCGGTTGAATTGACAACTCAATTGTTAATACTTGAGAATATTGTTTGGCTCCCCTTGTGTTGAATCAATAAATTTGGGTTGAATACTCTACCCTCGAAAACTGTTGCGATCCCCTATACTTGTGGGTTATCAAAATTGCATTCTATGTTTCCCAACAAAAGCAATATAGGGCTCTAGTGGAGCTATTCTACCAGGGAAACTTCTCTCCTAGAAGGGGAAATCGAAATCATCGTCATCACCAATGATCCTCTCATCGAGAGGGGGTCAATATCCATCAACATCTCCACTAGCACCATCTCCTCTCAAACCCTAGTTCATCTCTTGTATCTGATCTTTGCCTCAAAACCTCATATTGGTACCTGTGGGTTGCTAGTAGTGTTGATTACTCGTTGTAGTTGATGCTAGTTGGTTTATTCAGTGGAAGATCATATGTTCAAATTCTTAATAATATTTATTACCCCTCTGATTATGAACATGAATATGCTTTGTGAGTAGTTATGTTTGTTCCTGAGGACATGGGAGAAGTCTTGTTATAAGCAATCATGTGAATTTGGTATTCGTTCCATATTTTGATGAGATGTGTGTTGTCTCTCCTCTAGTGGTGTTATGTGAACGTCGACTACATGACACTTCACCATGATTTGGGCCTAGGTGAAGACATTGTGAAGTAATAAGTAGATGATGGGTTGCTAGAGTGACAGAAGTTTAAATCCCAGTTTATGTGTTGCTTCATAAGGGTTGATTTGGATCCACATGTTTCATGCTATGGTTATATTTATCTTAATTCTTCTTTTGTAGTTGCGGATGCTTGCGAGAGGGGTTAATCATAAGTGGGAGGCTTGTCCAAGTAAGGACAACACCCAATCACCGGTCCACCCACATATCTAATTATCAAAGTAACGAACGCGAATCATATAAGCATGATGAAAACTAACTTGACAATAATTCGCATGTGTCCTCGGGAGCGCTTTGCTTTATATAAGAGCTCGTACAGGCTTGTCCTTTGCTACAAAAAGGATTGGGCCACCTTGCTGCATCTTAGTTACAATTGTTACTTGTTACCCGTTACGAATTATCTTATCACACAACTATCTGTTACCGATAATTTCAGTGCTTGCAGAGAATACCTTGCTGAAAATCGCTTGTCATTCCTTCTGCTCCTCGTTGAGTTCCACACTCTTACTTATCGAAAGGACTACGATAGATCCCCTATACTTGTGGGTCATCAGAGATAGAGTGTACTAAGTGCATTGAACTTCTCAAAGGAAAATTAGAATGAGGTTTTAGATTCCTATGGAATGAGTAGCACAACAATGGGTTTCATAGGAATTTGGTGTCTCAATCCTATGATCCAAAGGGCTTAAAATCCTATGGAATGGAATCCTTCAGATTCCTATGAAATTCCTTCAATCCAAAGAAGCTCTGTATGAGAGAGGCCCTTAGCATGCCAGTTTAGACAATGTGTGTTAATGTTTTGAGAAAACCGTGGTTGAGGATGGTATGACCTTTTTTCGGCAAAATAATTGTTTTTTCCACCCAATGTTTTATGGCCACATTCTTTTACGATTATATGGCTATGTATGTCGGTCATTTCTTGTGCATGAATCTAAATGCGTCTGAGCAATCATGAGGTGAATGTAATGCAATCCTAAAATAAGGTAGTGACTAGCTGGATGATACTCCCTCCATTTCAAAATATAGTGCGCCCACGCTTCCCGAGGTTGAACTTTGACCATAAATTTAACGAACGAGACCGACTGCGGCGGGAGAAAAAGTTACATAATTAAAAACTTCTTTCGAATACGAATTCACGGATATAACTTTTGCCCCCGCCGCAATCGGTTTTGATAGTTAAATTTACGGTCAAAGTTGAAGCACGCGGATAGAGAAGCACTACATTGTGGAATGGAGGGAGTACATTTTTCAACTAATTTAGTTTACATAATATAATATATAATCCAACAGGAATCTAATTAAGGTGTCAGAACGACCACATTAGACAAACATTCAAGAAGTTCCATCTACACCTCCTTATTACAATAATGTGGGATTTAAACATAATATATTCCCCTTTAAACATTTAAGCGGCTGGAGATTTAGGTACTCTGCCACAGAAGAAATAAATATCCAGATTCAATTGAGTAAGTCCAAATTATGTTTAGAGACAATGAACTTAATTATTGAGCGATTGATATTTCGGTTAGCAAGATGTTGATGCGTGAACCTTTGGTACCAAATTGGTCCGAGCTAGGAACATCATCAATAGCCAACACATTGAGAAGGATGTTCTGCTCATGATGTATTATCATCTTCTCCTAAAAGACGCTGAAATGCCAAGTACAAGTAATATATAGATTGATGGAGAAAGAAGTAATAAGGTGAACAAGAGCTCTAGCATTAATTTCATCAAATTGACATCCATTTTACAAGGCCAACCCAACCCAGCCAAGCCATCCTCCCTCCAGGAGGGAAAGAAACCTCTCCCAACACACCCATGGAGTACATACATCTTCTAAAAACCCCAAACCGGATTGATCCTCCTTTGATTTTGGCAGTCCTTTATAATTTACCAACAGCTGAAACTCTTGCCCTAAACATTCCTCCCCTCACCCCATCTGATCCCTACACCTAATTAAGAATCCTAGTAATTAGCCTCCGGCATGCACAAGCACGCATCATGTCCCCGGCAGGCGCGTGGAGCCGCTGCAGCCCCCCATGTCCCCTCCTCTGTCCGTCTGTCTCCTACGCCACGCCGGCATGCACGGTTGCGGCCCGGCCGTGTCCCCGCTAGCTCACAGCCCCAGCAGGATGTAGTAGACGAGCGTGATGGGCAGCGCGATGAGCATGCCGAAGATGACACTGCATGCACGCACAAGAGAACGGCGGGTGAGACAAGAGCGAAAATGCGCGCAGGCGTGGAGAGCATCTCCGCCCACGCCCGCCGCCAGATTTCATGGTTTTAACTAGTGGTAGGACGCGGGCTGGCCGCATGCACTTACGCCGTGCTGAGGATGTCGGGGTGCACGCTGTACTCCTTGGCGAAGACGAAGGGGACAATGCCCTGGGGCAGCGCTGCCTGCGAAAAGAGAACGAACCAGCAGCTTAGTAAACAAACAAGAACCAAGCTGTGCGTCGTGCGTGCGAAAGCGTAAAGCGAAAGCGGCCGCTTGCCGCGGTTTCCCGGCGCAGGGGGCAGGGCGGAGTGCATGCGCTCATGGCGTCCTATCGGCGTGCCCGCCCGGCCGGCCACTTGACCGGTGTTCCCCTTTCTTTTTTCATCGAAAGGCGGTTATTGTCAGTGTGCAAGCCTGTGTTGTACTAGTGTGTGTGCTCGGCTCGGTTGGTTTGGTTGGTCGGGCGTCGTCTCTGGTCGTACCTGCACGATGGCGATGTGGAGGAGGGTGCCGCGGAGGCCGACGGCGATGGAGGCGGCGGCCATGACGGCCGGGCCCGTCAGGAACCGCACGGCCATGGCGAACGTCGCCCGCTTGTTCCCGCACGCGATGATCCGCGGCTGCAGCGCCATGAACAGCCCTGCATGCATGCGCCACATGCAAATGTCAGCACCATTCTACTGCATATGAATGAAATGAACCATGGTTGGCATGCATGCATGCGAATGCAGAGCAGAGGAGCGCACCGAGGCTGAACATGGCCATGCCGAGGCCGGCGTCGGACAGGATGGCGATGGACTTCATGATGATCGCCGGCATCACGAAGTTCCACCTGCATGCATGCGTAACGGGTCAATTAACTGCTCGGTAACTGACGGATGCTCTAGCTAACCTCGCCGGCGGCGGATACTTAGGGAGGGAGCAGGGAGTGATTACCGGAAGCAGACGAGGGACCAGATGAGGCCGATGAGGCTGGAGTAGGTGTTGGGGTTGCGGATGAGCTTGCGCCACACCATGATGAGGATGAGGCGGGTCATCACGCTGGTCGGCGGCATCACCGTGGGCGCCGCCACCAGGCCCGCGGTGCCCTGCTCCGCCGCGGCCTTCTCGTCGCCGGCCTCCGCGTCCCTCTCCTTGTTCCCGAAGCTGAACTCGTCACGCTCCACGCCGTCCGCTGTGATTGATTGATCGGTTACCAATAACAGAGCAGATTATCAGCGCGGGCACTAATTAACTTGCCGAGAATGGCTAGGACAGTCGAATGGATTATGGAATGGAACCTTTGCGCGGCGAGGCGGCGGCCACGCGGACGTCCTTGGCGGCGGCGTCGTTGTACGCCTCGGTGCCGTTGCCGAACACGTCGGAGACTGGCGACGCGCTGGAGCTCCACACGAACATGTGCAGGTCCTTGCCGTCCTCTCCCTTGGCCTGCCCGTTGGCCGCCTTCTTGGCCGGCTTCTGCGGCGCCGCCATCGCGGGGTTGGGCGCCGGATACTGCCCGTACTTGCTGTTGTTGTTGTTGTTGCCGGCCTTGTCCTCCTCGTAGTTGGACGGGCGCGGCGTGGCCCCGGTGCGCACCACCGGGCCGAACGCGTCCCCGGCGGCGAAGTTGGAGCTGCGGCCCACCATGGAGTAGAAGTCGGTGTGGTTGAAGCTGGAGCCCCGAGGCGTGGGGTTCCGCGACGACTGCAGCGAGTAGATCTCGGCGTTGGTGAGGTTGCTGGGGCGCGGCGTGGTGCTGGAGAACCCCATGGAGCGGCGCGAGTAGATGTCGGAGCGGGAGGCGTTGGAGCGGCGCACGGTGACGTGAATCTTGCCGTCCTCCTTCACCTCCGCCTCCGTCTCGATCATGTCCCTCCTGCCGTCGAGCGACATGACGTCGGGGTCGACGGCGATGGAGGCGATGGCGCCGGCGGTGTCGGGGAACTGCTCGGTGATGAGGATCCTGGCGCCGCGGTACTCGAACATGAAGAGCATGAGCGTGTACCAGATGATGCACTGGAGCACCACGATCTGCACCATCAGGCTGCCGGACTCGTCGCCGTACATGCCCTTGAGGAGCGGGATGCCCATGACGAGGGTGTTGGGCAGCGTGGAGAGGGAGAAGAGCGTGATGGTCCACTCGAGGGAGCCGTTGCGGGAGAGGTGGCTCCAGAGGGTGAGCAGCGCGAGCACGATGAGCTTCTGCAGCGTGTCGGCGGCGATGAAGCGGAGGTTCATGGTGTAGGGGTTGTTGGTGGAGATGAAGTGGAAGGAGAGCAGCGGCACGGCGAAGAGCGCCACGAAGCGGTTGATCCCGGAGCACTGGTCCGGCGTGAAGATGCGCCACCACTTGACGGAGCCGTACGCGAGCATCATCGCCACGTACAGCGGCACCATCGCCGTCATGACGTGGTAGAAGTCCGTGCCAGTGATCATCTTGCCGTGCCGGCCGCCGCCGCTGCGCCTTCCTTCCTACTCTGTCACGGCGGCGCGGCAGGGGAGGTGTGCGGTGGCGGTGAGGTGAGGTGCGGCGTTGTTCAAGTGAAGCAGCGCTGGCTAGCTTGATTTATGGCGCGGGCGCGGTGGCCGCGCGGCAGGGTCGGCGAGTGTGGCGATCGGAGGGAGGCAGGCGGGGGAGCCAATGAGGGGAGGGGGAGTGGGCATATGTGCGGGGGATTATTTATACACATCATGTGGGCGTTCAACAGTGAACGGTCACGCAGCCCCACACCGGGAAGGAGAGAGGAAGGGGTAGCGGAAATGGGGATTGAGGAAATACCAAAAAGCAACCTCAAATTTTTATACCCCTGCAAATTGCACTACTAAAATTGTGTAATGCAGTACAATTTCAGAAAAATGGGGATGCAATTTTTGAGCCTTACAAGAACATACTTCAGAAAAAATGTACAAATGGATCGAAGAGGGATTAGTCGATGTCTCTGACGTGCACAAACCGATGGCGCACCGCGAGTTTAGCTCAGAGCCACATCCGCTCCGCGTCGCCGGTGTGAGGGAGTCGTTGTACCTATGGCCGGGAAGTTGTCCGACGGTGACATGAGATGTGAGATGTGAATGAAGATGATCTAAAGCACGAACTGTCGCGTTGGAGAAGGAGGAGAAGGACAAACTATGAGACCCAACCCCATGTTGATGGAAAAACATCGTTATGGGATCTTATTGATGTTGGGTTTCGTAGTAATTTCAAAAAAATTCCTACGCACACGCAAGATCATGGTGATGCATAGCAACGAGAGGGGAGAGTGTGATCTACGTACCCTTGTAGATCGACAACGGAAGCATTTGGTTGATGTAGTCGTACGTCTCCACGGCCCGACCGATCAAGCACCGAAACTACGGCACCTCCGAGTTCTAGCACACGTTCAGCTCGATGACGATCCCCGGGCTCCGATCCAGCAAAGCGTCGGGGAGGAGTTCCGTCAGCACGACGGCGTGGTGACGATCTTGATGTTCTCTTGTCGCAGGGCTTCGCCTAAGCACCGCTACAATATGACCGAGGTGAAATATGGTGGAAGGGGGCACCGCACACGGCTAAGGAACGATCACGAAGATCAACTTGTGTCTCTATGGGGTGCCCCCTGCCCCTGTATATAAAGGATGGAGGAGGAGGAGGCCGGCCAAGGCTTGGTGCGGCCAGGATGTGGAGTCCTACTAGGACTCCAAGTCCTAGTAGGAGTCCACCAAGAGGGGAGGAAGGGAGAAGGAAGTGGAGGAGAAGGAAAGGTGGCCGGCCCCCTTTTCCCTAGTCCAATTCGAACCAGAGGGGAGGGGGGGCGCAGCAGCCCCTTGGCCCTTTCTCCTCTTCCCACTAAAGCCCATCAAGGCCCATTGCTTCTCCCGTAACTACCCGGTACTCCGAAAAATACCCGAATCACTCGGAACCTTTCCGATGTCCGAATATAGTCGTCCAATATATCGATCTTTACGTCTCGACCATTTCGAGACTCCTCGTCATGTCCCCGATCTCATCCAGGACTCTGAACTCCTTCGGTACATCAAAACTCATAAACTCATAATATAACTGTCACCGAAACCTTAAGCGTGCGGACCCTACGGGTTCGAGAACGATGTAGACATGACCGAGACATGTCTCCGGTCAATAACCAATAGCGGGACCTGGATGCCCATATTGGCTCCTACATATTCTACGAAGATCTTTATCGGTCAGACCGCATAACAACATACGTTGTTCCCTTTGTCATCAGTATGTTACTTGCCCGAGATTCGATCGTCGGTATCCAATACCTAGTTCAATCTCGTTACCGGCAAGTCTCTTTACTCGTTCTGTAATACATCATCCCGCAACTGACTCATTAGTTGCATTGCTTGCAAGGCTTAAATGATGTGCATTACCGAGAGGGCCCAGAGATACCTCTCCGACAATCGGAGTGACAAATCCTAATCTCAAAATACGCCAACCCAACATGTACCTTTGGAGACACCTGTAGAGCTCCTTTATAATCACCCAGTTACGTTGTGACGTTTGGTAGCACACAAAGTGTTCCTCCGGCAAACGGGAGTTGCATAATCTCATAGTCATAGGAACATGTATAAGTCATGAAGAAAGCAATAGCAACATACTAAACGATCGGGTGCTAAGCTAATGGAATGGGTCATGTCAATCAGATCATTCACCTAATGATGTGATCCCATTAATCAAATAACAACTCTTTGTTCATGGTTAGGAAACATAACCATCTTTGATTAACGAGCTAGTCAAGTAGAGGCATACTAGTGACACTCTGTTTGTCTATGTATTCATACATGTATTATGTTTCCGGTTAATACAATTCTAGCATGAATAATAAACATTTATCATGATATAAGGAAATAAATAATACCTTTATTATTGCCTCTAGGGCATATTTCCTTCAATTGACGACGACATTGATGCCATCAAGAACTGAGGCGGGAGCATTGTGGTCGACGACTCTCCCCCATAACCGCGCGGGTGGATTTTGGAGAGAAAAAACCTCATGTGCTCCGCGCCGACGCCATAACCAGCACCACCATGACGTGGGTGAGGTTGGGTATACTTATTCCGATGCATTCTTGTCGCCTAGACGAATGACAGAGGAGGACATCACAAACATATACCAGGAGTCCCCACAAGCACAGAGATCCATTGTCTTCTCCGCCTGATGTCAAAACCAATCGCCATAGATGGAGACCAAAGGAATCAGTCGACGAGGATGACGGCTTTGTGGTAGCTAGGGTTTCAAAGAGAGCTTTTTTTGTGTAGATCTAGCATGAAAGAACAATTGCTATTGAAGTTTAACTAGTAATCTTTGTTAAAGTTGGTTGATCCTTCTCTCCCAACATAGATATCGTTGGTTGTATCTATATTATACTCCCTCTGCTGATAATAAGAGGTATGTTGTATGTGACTTTTCGGGCAAGGATTAGAGGGGTGATAAAAAGAGAATGTTGTGAAGTGGAAATAATCAATTGCCTGCAATAAGTCTTAATTGCTTCCTAGATATAAGAAGGGGTGAAGGGGAAATGGCGAGTGTGAAATATGGAAATCTAGTTAAAATTTTGCATTATTAAAAAGTTATGTTTTAATAAAAAAAGTGAGATTGGTAATAATTCATTTGAACATAAAATTGTTCGATATAAAACCAAAGACCCAATTTTTTATTGGAAGCTTCCAAGTTCACCTATCTATTTTTTTCGCGGGAAGTTCACCTCTCCGTAGAAGCCATCCTAAAGCATAACTTTTTTTTCTATATGTCATCAAATAACACCTCTTGGTAGGAAAGGAATGCAATGCCATTGTTGGTTAATCTTCTCTCCCCATGTACAATTTATGCATGCATATTTTCTCTAGTTGGCACATTATCTTGTTCCTATTTAAGTTGACTTTCTAATTATACGCTAACAAAAAAACTGCAGTCCTGTGGATGTGATCCTTATGTTGATGAAAAGGTGTATTTTAGTTTGGTTTCACCGGAAAATCAAGGAGGCAGTACAAAGAGAATGTTGTGAAGGAAAATTGCCGGCCATAATTTTACTAATTCCTGATGAAAAAGGGGGATATATGTTATGTTGTGATCCGAATTCATATAAAGTATAAAGGCTAGTTTCTGACAAAGCGGGCGGAGGCCCGTCGCCGGGAGGCTTATTCGTCGAGAACGAATCTTTTGACATGGTTTTAGTGTTTGCGCTCGGCGTACATCGTCTATAAGTTGTGTGGCCGATAAACTGCATTGGATCTATGGTTGAACACAAGGCAACGATTTTTTCCTATAGTGCACAACCATTGGTATAGACACCCACCAGCAACAACACAAAGAGACTACAACTAAAGTTTGGCATGGCTCCAAAGCACAACAAGTGGTATAGCCGGCCACAAGCAAATCCCAAAGCAACAATACAAAGAGACTACAACTAAAGTTTGGCATGGCTCCAAAGCACAACAAGTGGTATAGCCGGCCACAAGCAAATCCCAAAGAAATTACGGCTAAACGTTTTTTTTGAAACTACAAGTAAACTTCAACTTTTCTATCCAAGAACTTCACAACCACACAGGGCAAAAAAAAACAAGAGCACAAACAACACGTAAGATTCAGTCATCGGAGTGACAGTAAGAAGAAAAAAAAACCTCCAATTTCTAAGAAGGGGACACGAGGTTCACGATCTACAACAACATCACTTTCCGTCCAGCCATCGCAGTGATTCTTGCACATGAATGGCTTCTAGATTTCTCATATTTTGCGTGGATTTGTGATGTAGGGGTGGAAGTTATAGGTTTCAAACTATAGG